CTTATGAGAGCTCTTCATCCAAGGTTTTGGTAGAGGTAGCACAAAGGCTATCCTGATCTATAATCTATTATTTCCAGATAATCCAGGGACACAATCTAGACTATATCCAAGAACTTAATGTTGTTAGTGGCCATAGAGTCAATTCTGACTCATGGTGACCCTGTGTGTGCAGAGTGGAACTGCTCCATGGAGTTTTTGAAGCTGTGACCTTTCGAAAGCAGATCACCAGGCCTGTCTTTCGAGGAGCCTCTAGGTGGGTTTGGTGCTTAACTATTTGTGCCACCCAGGGACTCCTAATAACTTAATATTTGAACAATATTATCCTCTGCCATTCCCCTCACTCCACTGAATTGCTTTTCCTAAATTTAACTTTGAGGTCATGTCCTCACCTTTGATCACAGGTCCCAACAACAGCTTAGTGAAACTCTCTGTTGGAACTGCTAGGAAGTCTAGTTCTGTTCCCTGTGATGCCCTGGGATGACACTTTTTAAAAACTGAGTGATAGAAAAGTCTCTGCTTTCCTTTTAAAACTAATGATTTTGTCCCCTGATGAGCAATGATAATCTGAATCAGGTAACTGCCTTTTTTTTCTTCTCGTCCATGAATGAACCAGTTATGAATTAATTTTCATCTTCCACACTCTAGTTTATTGTCATTTCTTTTCATGGAATGCTGTCACTTGATTTGAAAAGTAGTGTTTGAAGAAAATAACCCTGGTGTGACTGCAATAAGTAGCCTAAACCTGAATAAATTTAAGAAATCTTAAAAAATACTTTTTTTTTTTTTTTAAATAGAAAGCAACAGTAATACTAATTTTGAAAAGACCATTGATGTCACTGTGATTTATTGGGTAAATACAAAGTATAGGCTCTTACATTATTTTAAAGCAAAATCAAAGAGATTAGAAATGAGTACACATGTCCTTTTTAAAAAACAAACATAAATTAGTTTTAACTAACATTTAGGCACTTAAAATGTAAATGTAAAACATTGCCATTTTAGAAGTATAAACTATAGTTACACTCCTAAATTCCTCCTGAAATGTGTTTATAAACACAAAAGCACAACATGGAATATGTATTTTTAAACAAAGATAATAGCTTCTTTTTAAAAAAAGAATATGAATTCAAATCTCATGATAGACCAATGATTAAGGTACAGTGAGCAGAAGGAAAGACTTCTGAAACTTAGATACTCGATTAAAATGTAAGCATTTAATAAAACTATTACAATAGCATATAGTATATATCATAATGAAAAATATTTAAGTCAGGAAAATAATCAATTCTAGACTTAAAATTTTACTTTACAACAAGGCACTTAACACATTGAAACAGTACAGTAAATTTCCAAAAGAATGCAATTGGCTACCTCTCAAACCTTGTAATAGTATTTCTTTTGTGAATATACTATAACACAACCATAAATTTTGCAGCATTAATCATTGCATAGGAGGTAAATTAAATAATGAATTCCAACTTGGCAACTACATTAGCTTATTTTATAGTTTCTTCTTTTATTTTAAAGGACAGTTTTAAAATAATTACACAATGACCAACTATTCTCATTCATGATTCATTTAGAACCCAGTATAGTTAAATTAATGAATAATAAAATAAGTCAGAACTTATAAGAAGTACAGCTGTATAAAAACCTATCTTTGGGTACCCTTGACATGATTTTCAGTGTTTGGGTATGAAATCAAGAGCACTTCTTAATAGAAGAAATATTTTTAGCAACTTAGTCAAAGGAGCTAAATTATTGCAACACAATGACATTAAAACAAAAACCTTTATACATACAAACAGAAAAGCCTTTAACAGGTGACATGTTACTTACAATATGCTTGATTCATGTAAACTCATTTATTAAGAAATTCTTTCTCACACTTCCTTACACTACAGAGGTGAATGTGTTAACTGGTTTAAATTTATAAGCAGTTTTACAGTGCAAAACAAACTAAAAAGAGCAAAAGAAATGTACAAAATATTCAAGGAACAAGATGTGAACTTTGAATAATAAAAAAGAAAACTGTATGAGTCCTAGCAGGTTTTTAAATAAAACAAATGTAAGAAAGACAGACAACTTGGTGTTTCAAAGTAGTGTAGGTAGTTATAAAGGGAGACATTAATGATTGTGATAGTGAGAGGTAAAAATGTTCTACAAATTTTCTTTGCTCAAATGGATAAAAGATTAGAATTGCAACTCCCAACAAATCTGAGCACATTTTCCTCTTGGAAAAGGCTTAAAATGCCTCTAAAAGAACTCCTTTCCCATGATAGTTCCATATTATTGGCAAAAATAGTAAAAAATAAATACCTTTTAAAAACTTGAAAATAAACTTTAAAAAATGGAAAGTTTGCAGTTCAAGTCAATGTTCTAAAACATACTTACTAAAATTCATAAAATGCATTTCCACAAGGGGGCACTAGTATATAGCAAATAACTCTATGGAACACCATCTATAAATGAGACCTGAGACTCAATTCACTCCCCCAAACAGCCTTTTTCCATAGCAAAACTGGTTTCCCAAGATGCCAGTCAATTAAAGAATAAATACACAATTACTTCAGGTAGAACTGGTAAAATAATGCTTTATTTTCAAAGCTAATGGAGGAGCTCAGAAAATAGAGTCAGAATAATAATAAAGAATAATTTTTTAAAATGTGGCATCTTTATAGGCATTGTATGTATAGATATTTCACAGAAGGGCTAAATTACAATAAAAGCTTCAAACAGGAGCACTGGTTTACAAAAAACAAGGATGATGGATACGACCTTGCTTGTAACTTAATTGGCAAAGAATTTTTAAAAGGAATTTCAAAAATTTACTGTTCCAAAGGTAAGATCACAAGTGTCTGTTTTCTAACTCCAAAGTGGCATGTTGGGTTAAATGTTAAGTTTGTTTGTAAATGAGTTTCTATTCTCATTTTCCATCTTGCTTTCTGTTTCCGCTGCATGATTTTCAAATCACATGCTTTCTCAGCACATGTGACAGCATTATGACATATACGTGCAAAGGACATGACAGCAATAGTGTCCACTCGTGGGGTCATAGGTGTTTGTAAAGTTCTTTAAAAGGTGATGGTATGTTTTAAAAACTGAATTACTTTAATAAGGGTTAAGGGTCTTCAGTAATCAATACACAATGATTTTTAACAAATAGTTTTCCTTATTTAATTGGGGGGGGGAAAAAAAAGGCAGTTATCAAAAACCCAGTTGAATAAGGCTCTAGGGCACATCAAACTGTTTTATTTGAATTAGAGGCTCCATAGGGCAAAACCCTTGCTTCAAGAGTCAGATGCTTTTCCTCATAACTGAGTTTAAATCAAAGTGTTTTCAAGTAGATCTCGTTCTATCACAAGTATCAATATTTAATAACATTTAATAAGTGCAAATGATGTAGAATTATGGTTAGACATATCAAATAGGCTATAGCTATGTTTATTATTGGTTTATTTAATAATAAATACCAGAAAAATCCTTGTGCTTCAATGACTGCCAAGGACGTTTAGGGTTTCAATTCTTGTTTTAAGTGATCAGACTGGAGAGTCTTTCTTTCTGGCTTTGAATTCAACTACCCTGCCTTTAGCAATTCATTCTTCTATTACACAAAGAAAGAGCCATACTGAAAATATACACAGAATTTTAGCACCAAAGACTGATGACTCTTTTGAACAGATTTGTATTGTGCTTTTCTCAGACAATTTAAAGGTCAATTTTATGTACTTAAGGAGCCTTGGTAGCACAGTGATTAAAGCGCTCAGTTGCCAACCACAAGGTCAGTGACTCGAACCCACTAGCCGTTCTGTGGGAGAAAGTTGTGGCACTCTGCTTCCTAAAGATTTACAGCCTTGAAAACACTGTGGGGCAGTTCTAGTCTGTCCTATAGGGTCCCTATAAGTCAGAATCTACTTGATGGCAGTGAGTGTTTGGTTTCATGTACTTAATCAAGGATGACTAGTTTTTTTAATAATGATAAATTTAAAGATACTTTTCAATCTATGAAGAGAGGAAATTACACCTTCAAAATAAATGGGTCAACTTCCTTCTACCCTCAATAACTCCCCCATACTTGTACCTTAATGTTGCTGATTTTGTAACCTTAAATCTTTTTTTAAGTTTACTAAGAAGTCTTGCAAATTAGCTTTAAGTACCTAAGGAATTAGCCAAGATTTATCCAAAAGATTCAACGATATTAATCTAGTCATTAAAAAAAATAAATAAATAAAAAATTATCTACCTTTTTTGCATCACCTCAAAGAAATTTAGAAACAGTCATCCCCTTACTGTGTAGTTTTAACTGTCTGACGCGCTGATTCCAACGGCAGATTATAGTGAAGCACCGTGTTATAATCCCCATAGAGTAAAAAGTAAAACGATTCAATTGTGGTTTACCTCCTTAGGATCTGTTTATGAGATGCTAAGTCTCTTGCTAAAAAGCAAGGATACATTAAACTTACGGTTGCCATCTTGGTTTTATATAAAGTACAATGTAACTATGATGATATAGACCTGGTGCAGGGGCAATGCAGGCTTCTTCCCCCAGTGGCATCAGCATGAGCTCATACAGGTATGTTTCTAGCCTGTGTTCATGAACTTGACTGCACTAGGGGGTACCAGCTGCAAATTTACCAGGCATGTAACTGTGTACCCAAGGATTGCTCATTAGCAGAAATAGCCCCATGTTTCCTCTATCTGTGTTAGAGAAATATTTACACACTTGTAAAATCTGAAGGGTATGCCAAATACATCCATGTTTATTTAGATCACCTTTTCCTTTTTTTTTTTTTTAATAAAATTATCAGTTAAAAAAAAGTTAAAGTGATACATAGTAGTAGCAGCAGCAGTGCACATTCCCAGCCCTGACCTTTCTTTCCCCACAATAGGGTAGAAGCAAAAGTTCACCTGAAGTTTACCAACAACCCCCAACTCTCCTCAATAATAAGCCTAATGCTGAAAACCACTCTCAACATTAGGTTGTTCTTTTTACAAGTAGCTGTATACATCCAGATATTTTATTTAAAACATTAACAAATTCTTCTGACCTTGGGAGGAAAAAAATCCAACATTCTGAAGTAGAGGGCTTTAGTGGAAAAAGAATGAGGAAAGGAGTAATATGTTCTTTGGCACCTCTTTAACAAGCTCATTAGTAAAATCCCAGTTTGGGGGCTTGTCACCAATGAAAGAAGAGCTGCAGGAGAATTACTTTTCCCAGGATGAATAAAAACCAGTCAAGGGATAATACTTTGTTCATCTTTCTAATCATTTACACACAATTTGGTCCATTTCTTCATTTGTCAGTCACTTCTCCTAAACTGAAAAACAAAACTATACCTTTGGTTACAGCGTTAACTCTTTTGGTATAAGAGCTGATGCCTTTGTTTTGCTTCTCAGGTAGATTTCTCATTATCTTCGCCAATCTTCTGAACCCGTGAATACTTTTTGCAGGATGATTTAAAGCAGCCAGGAGGCCAGGACAGTGGCCAGGAGAAGCAGCAAGGAATTGAGCCTTGTACATTTTTCTCAAAAAAATAAAAGATGGGGAACCACCATGCTCGAGACAAGAAATTAGTCTGTGATGAGACCTTTAAGTTCTGAAAAAGGTAAGAAAGCAAAATCAGTTTTGTTTTTCATGATTTGTACCCTTATTATTATTATTATTTTCTTAATTAAACTGTCATTCACTGCCACCTAACAGGGAAAGTAGCAGAATCGGATCATATGACAGTAATTGTTTCTGTGGCCTAACTCTGCTGCTATTCTAGTCCCCCTACAAACAAACCTAGTGCTTTTTCCAAACTTTTTGTGGCTCACTGCAATTGCTCATTTCTGCCTCTAATTCCAGTGAGAATGGAGACTCAGGAACTGATATGAGAGTTATTCAGGAGGAATAATTTTCAGGATCTGTAAGTAGTCAGATCTATGGGTCAAGGAAGATGAAAGAGTGAAAGGAGAGCCTAGAAGATTGAACATATTTAAAAAAGAAAGATGAAAATTTTGTTTTAGTGGTATCAATAGACATCCAGGTAGATGTAAATGAAGGAAAATTGAAAAAGAAGGTGGAAGCTAGAGAAATAAAGTAATCCATAGAAAGGGCACGTATTAGCAGACACCATCAATGGAGATAATATACCCAACTCCTCGGGAGCTCTGGTAGCATAGTGGCTAAGGCACTTGACTGCTAACCAGAAGGCTGGCGGTTCAAACCCACCAGCCACTCCTCGGAAGGAAGATGG